CCGCTGCCCTGTCATACATGGGTTCACACCTGAACCCTAAACTAATGCAATGCTTCACCTAGCATGGTGCCCACTTGTGCGGACTTGTGACATGAGGATGCCTCAAGGGGGCTAACCCGCCAACCCTGCCCTGCCCACCTAGGCCTAGTAAGACCTTGTGACATCAGCTTCCTTTCAGTTGAGCAACCCATCAATCCTGTCGCCTGCTTGGATCAACTAGCTATAGACATCGGTCACGCGAAGGTGTTTTGGCAATAGGGGCTGTTGTGGTGCTTTGGATTCAGGTGAAACAGGGTTTAGGGTTTAGGGTTTATGACCAAAAGGTTGGCTGACCCCGGGTAGCAGTATAGTGTCAATGGCTGGGTCTAGGTGGTCCTTGTAATGCATATCCTCTCCTACGTATACGACCGCCGTGCTGTAGGCTTTGAGGCATGCGCCTTTGAAATGCAAACGGACATCTTCTGGTCGCTGTCGCAGCCGCTGTGTGGGGTGGCATCAACATCTGCAGTTGGTGAAGGATTATCGGCGCGCCGTGGGCATGGGGTCTGCTGCCTGCAGTGGATGAGTAATTGAGCACCTCGCACATTCCAATTTGAATGGAAGGCTGCACCACACCAGCTTGTGACCGGGTCATATCCCATTGAACCCGCACTAGATATGTTATCCGCAGCGTTCAACAGCGGGCCCCTTGCCTAGTATCAGAAATGGCGATGATCTAAAACTGCAGCACGGCCTCCAACCGCAATGGACTCTGTCAGCTTCGACGAGTTCTGGGCGCTTCAAAAGGCGCTCAAGGCCGCGGAGGGCAAGGTGCGTGGAGCATGAAGGCCAGATCTACTCACTAAGGAGCCTGAGTGCTTCGCGCTCCTGGGGTGCGATCTACCAATAATACATACCACGCCTCGATTGCAGGTGCAGCACCTTGCCGTCGAGCGGGACGGGCTGCTGCAGGTGGTCGCCGACTATGAGGCGCAGCGCGAGGTGTGTTGACGCAAGCGCTGCATCACGTGGCAGCTCTCTGTAGTGCCCCTCGAGTGTACCATACTACCCCAATGCTTCCGCTCGCGATTTTGGTGTTAAGTTTCCCGCTTCCCAATCAATAGAGCAGGCCAGAGTGATTTGTGGATGCACTGACGATGGCTGCGGCATGCACGCGGCACTTCACGCGTCTGCAGGCCGCGCTGGACGCGCTGCATGAGTACTACGCACGCAGCGAGGCGACAGCGAACGCCCACAGCGATGAGGTGTCTTGCCTCCGTGCCCGCATCACCGACCTGGAGACAAGGGCGGATAGCGCCGAGCGCTGCGAGTAAGTTAGAGCTGCGAATGTAGCAGCTGTTGCCATGCGCGCACATGTGCAGGTCCACGTCTGCACACGTGTGTGTGTGTGTGTGTGTGTGTGTGTGTGTGTGTGTGTGTGTGTGTGCATGTGTGTGTGTGTGTGTGTGTGTGTGTGTGTGTGTGTGTGTGTGTGTGTGTGCTCGTGCGCGCAATTGCGCACAAGTGCACGCAAAGGGATGGCCATGGTGCACATTGGCTGCATTTCTTGTGCGCAAGCTATGGCCCCCAGTGGGATAACGGAGGGAGTGCAGCATGCCTCGTTGGCCACAGTAAGCTCTGTACTCAAGTCCTGAGCCCTCTGGCCATTCCTTGATTCAGGTGTGACCTTCAAAGGGCCACCCAAGAGCTTACAGCTCTGCAGGTGAGGGTCCCTGCAGGTGCAGGCCGCAGTTGCCTGCACACACCAAATCCTGCCAGTCTGTTGCTTGAGATCTCTCCATTTGGGGCCAAGCCAACGCGCACCTCTCATTCAGGCTGCCGTTGTTGCTCACTCATCTGATGTCCAGAGCGAGCTGGCACGCATGAGGGGCGAGCTCAAGAGCCAGCAGGAGCTGCAGCAGCAGCGTGTCACCACCCGCAGGCAGCAAGAGCAGATGGCAGGTGCGTCGTTGGCAAGCCCATGCCAATCCAACCCCATCATTGGGTGGGATTAGCTTATGTGACTTTTCATCCCCCTGTAATAGTAGTAGGACATCCCCCTGCCTGCGGTCCTCCCCATTCTCCCTTTTCTCCCCCCGGTGATAGTCTCCCACCTCATCTTTCCTTGCTCCTCAGCTCGTGAGCTTGAGCTGCAGGATACCCAGGCAAAGCTGGCGGCAAAAGAAGCTGAGCTCACAATCAAGCAGGTAGGCCTACCTGCTGGGCTGGGATCTCGCTTGCTGTTGCGGCTGGCGCGTTGTTTTCCAATGAAATTCATTCAAACTGTCATCATACATCGCTGCAGAACACCACGCTACACTCGCTTTCTGTCAAGCATCGGCGTTCCATGCCGTGGCTGCCTTGTGACAAAGGGTGCCTCCTGGGGGCCCTGTTGCTTTTCCGCAGGACGAGCTGGACACAGCTCAGAAGGAGGTGCATCGCCTGCAGGCGGAGCTGGAGCAGGAGGAGGAGCGCCTGGCACAAAAGGAGGCAGAGCTGAGAAAGTCTGAGAGAGACCTCAAGGTGCGGCTAGCGGGCTTGCCCTCTGTGCACTCATTACCATGAGGGTTCAGGCGCTTAGAAGTCCTCAACTGCAGGAGCACAGGGGGGTGCCCTGCTTCACGCGAGCCGCCTGCAGGCACTGCATACGTCAGCCGGCAGGATGCTCTCCAAGTCTGCCACACATGTCCTGGCCGCCCCTTGCCGTACGACTTCTGCACAGGCCGAGCAGACAAGGCTGGTGCGCCGCCAGTCGGACGTGGACACTTCTGCTGCTTCGCAACGCGGAGAGTTGGAGCGCAAGCAGGGTGAGCTGGAGCGTGAGCGGATCCGGCTTGAGGCGCAGCACGCTGAGCTGGAGCAGGATCGGGGCAGCCTCAAACGCGACACTGCCCGTGTGGAGTCCCGCGAGCGCGCGGCAGCTGATGCTGAGACGAGGCTGAAGCAGCGGCACGAGGAGCTGGAGGTTCTGGAGTCCCAGCTTGGAGCCAGGGAAGCCACCATCGCCGAGAAGGAGCGCGCTGTCGAGGATTCCAAGCGGTGAGGGCACCGTTGGTCGCATGCTTGGCTTATCCTGACGGTTGCGTGAGGGCTCGTCATGCTGCGGGAAGCGATTGCATGTATACACGCTTTCACAGACAGTGGTGAGCTGCTGCCTTGTAGGCAAACCTCAAAACTACCTTGCCACTTGTCGTGCGGATCGATGGACGCCTTGCTGACCCGTGCTCACGCCCCTTGGCAACCCCGCCTGCGACAGGGAGGCCGATGCTAGGCAGGAGTGCCTCGCTGCTGAGTCTCGCCAGCTGACCTCTCAGCGCAACACGCTGGCGGAGGAGTGTGAGGGCTTGGCCAAGGAGCGCGCGGCTCTTCAGGAGGCCAGGTCCACCCTGGAGGAGGAGCGCAGGCAGCTCGAACAGGGTCTGTGCATGCTGGGCACAGACAGGGACGAGGTGGAGCATCAGAGGCTCGTTGTTGAGCGCGACACAGCAGCCGTGGTTGAGCGGGTGGGTCTGGGTGGTTTGTCACTGCCGAGGTTGTTTTTGAGGACCTAAGGAGGCCTCTTGGCTGCTAGCATTTGCGTGATTCGTGCCACACTCAGTACTGACCCATCTCAAACCCATTCTGCACATATCACACTGAGCACGCTGGCTGGTGTTTGAACTGTGCTTAGTCGTGTGCAGGAGCCCCGCGACTACTTGAGCCTGTTCTGCATGCTTGCCCGGCTACTCTCTCCGATAAAAAGGGTGTAGTTGTCTCGGACCCCTGCCCCCCACAAACAAGCTTGGTGTTTAGGGTTCAGGGTTTAGGGTGTTTCAAATCACCATCTGTCCTCCACCACACACCCCTCATAGGTCACTCAGCTGGATGCGCGTGAAGCCAAGCTTGTTGAGGAGCAGCGAGCCGTGCGCGCACACGATGTCGAGGTCAAGCGCGCCGAGGGGTCAAACGCCAGGCACGAGCGCGCTCTCGAGGTGCGGCCGGCACTGGTTAGTGCCGGTGCATGGTTGGCCGAGGCATACCTGTAGTCTGTAGTGACCAAGCGTGCATGCCATGACCTGCCCCTTGGCGCCCTGGTAGCTATCCGTCGCTCACGTACCAACCAGTGTGTGTGTCTCCTGCCGGCAAACTGATTGCAACAACTCAGATCCGTGAGGGCGCCCTTAAGGCTGCTGAGAGCGAGGTGCAGGCCAGAGCTGATGCTGCCCTTGCCAAGGAGGAGGTGCAGGTAGGCGGGATGCAGTTATTGAGCCGCTGGGAGCTTGTTCGCGCCCCGTACAAGCCACCTTGGCTGCCCAGACCTGTGCGAGCGAGCACCCCATGGACACGCAAGCAGCTCTCTGAGCATGCTTGTGTTGCGCACATGCATGCCTGGCTCCACACACTCTTGGGCATGAGTTGACAGCATCGGAACCTGCACATCCTGCACCATGAAGGCACGCCTGGCGCGGGCTCTGGAGCAAATGAGGGTTGCCCTGGAGGCAGACCGTGCGCGCCTGGACGCACAACAGCAGGAGTTTGAGCAGAGCCAGCGCGACGCTGCATCCGCTGCTGCGGGTGCATCTAGGGCAGCTGCGCAGCGGCACCCCCCGGCGTCGCCAGTTGGTCGTGTGGCTGCGCTGTTTGGGTTTGGCGGTGCTGCTGCGGCGACACGCACGACTCAACCCGAGCCGCTGGCAAACCTGGACGCCCTTGACTCCCAGATCACTGACCTGGTCGCCGCCGCAGCTGCTGGGGATGACGTTGCAGCTATTGCCAGCGCAGACGTCGCGCCTGCTGCTGCTGCTGCTGCTGCTGCTGCTGCTACTGCTGCCGGGGCTGCTGCCCGTGGGGTTGCGGTAGGGACGCCCCAGGTGGGCGCCGTGGTCCGTAGCGAACAGGATGCCGCACCTGGCGTCAGCGATGGAGCTGCTGGAGTCCAGCTTTGTCCAGATTTCGCAGCAGTGCAGGGGCACGGCGGTTCCAGGGCTAGTGATGCAGGAGGCACGAGGGTGCCCGCCCCACCAACCGCTGCAAGGCGGCTGCGTGGCTCTGCTGGCAAGCTCTCTACGGCGGGGGCTGCGGGCACAACGGGAGGTGCTGCCCGTGTTCGTGTGTCCAGAGCAGCAGCAGAGCCGGCGGGCGCGGACGAGGCTGCGGAGCTCGATGCTGTCGAGCCAGCGGCGCGGGGGCAGGTTCACCTGCAGCAGCCGTCGTACAACCATGGTGATGAGCCTGCCACATCAGCAGCAGGGGAGGAGGAAGCCCAGCCTCAGCTGTCGCCCAAGCAGGCGCGGCGAGGCCGGCCTGTGACTCAGGCGCTGACGGCAGTTGAGGCAGGAGCAGGCTCTCCACAGGCGGCCGGCAAGGGCGATTTGCCGTGGGCACAAACCGAGAAGCATGCACAGCAGCAGCAGGAGCAGGCAGAGGAGCCACGCAGCAGCGGCCGCCGCAAGCGGGCAGTGGTAGCGGATGCGGCAGAGCAGCCCCTTGAAGCTGACGAGCAAGTGCTGCAGCAGCAATCGCTCCAGGCGTCCCCAGCTCCCAGACGACGCAGCCGCGCCTCTGTCGCGCAGCGCACGGAGACTGCCGGCACACAAGTCACAGCGGGGCTCACCCCAACTGCGCCGACAATTGTAGGCGAGGAGGATGAGCACGACGACTTTGTCACGCCGCCTGGCGCAGTTGTGGAGCAACAGCTGCCCAGAGATGATGAAGAAGCCGTTGCGGCAGGTGCAGCCGACGGTAGTGGCGCGGCGGGCTCAGCCCGCGGCGCAGCAGCTGCAGTTCAGGCCCGCAAAGTAGCCACCAAGACGCCCGGCGGGCACTCGCTGCTGGGGCTTGGCTGGCTGTTTGGCCGGTCAAGCGCCAGCCCTGCGCTGCAGACGCCCGCCTCTCAGGAGGGAGAGGAGTCAGAGGATGGTGACGAGGAGGGACTGGGCAATGGAGGCGATGCTATTACCCTTTCAGAGGAGCTGGCTGATGTGGAGCGCGGCCTGGACTCCCTGGACGATCTCCGGTGCCTGGAGGAGGCCGACTTGGCCGTGCAGCCGCTCGGCTTTGGCAGCGACCTGGAGGAGGAGCCCTCCCCGCCCAAGCAGCAGCAGCAGCAGCAGCATCAGCAAAGTCCGCCAAAGGGCAGCGCGCTTGACCGTCAGGACGCATCGGAGGAAGTGGCACCGCTTGGCCGCAGGAGGACAGCGGCAACGTCGCCTGCTGGTGTGGCCGCGCACGCTCCAGGCGTAAGCCCAGAGGTAGCCGGTGCTGAGGCTGCCAAGAACCTGGCGCAGCGTGCGGCGGACGTGCAGGCCGCGGCAGACGCAGCAGCCGGTAACGCAGGTAGCAGGCCAAGTGCGGCGGCGCCCAGCAGTGGCAGGGTGGGACGCTCCTCCAAGCGCTCTGCAGCCCCTTCCGCAACCGCAGACAGGCCCAGCAGCAAGCGCCGTCCCTCATCTACGCAGCCCACAGCGGCTAGTGCAGAAGTCCGCCAGACGTTGGGCGGCATGGGTGGGCCTGCCGCGCCGGGCCTGGCGGCCGTCCCCGAGGACGAGGAGCTGGATCAGCAGGATGCCGGGGCTGCAGCAGGGCAAGGAACGCGCGCCAAGCAAGGGCCGCGTCCTCGCAGCACCAGCGCCGCTGCCGCCAAGGCTCAAAAGGATGCAGCAACGGCAGCGGCTGGTGCGGCGCCACCGAGCAGCGGCGCAGCAAAACGCGCGGCGCGCCGCGCAGTGTCTGCACCCACCACCAGCTACGAAGGCGCTGTCGGTGCCGATGGCACGGACGAGGTGGTCCAGCGCGCAGTCGAGCATGCAGCGCGCGTGCCCTTGCCGGAGACCCCGGCGTCCCCGTCCAGGGCGACGCGACAGCGCGCAACGGGCCAGGCAGCGGCGCAGCCGGCAGGGTCAACGGACACAGCAGCCTTTGGCCCCGGGTTGCGGTCGCGCCGCGGTCGTGCGCCGCGCGCCCCGGCCACCGTAGAGGAGCGCGAGGAGTCTGAGCTGGAGGTGGATGATGTGCAGGGGATGCTGGCACCGCTGCAGGGTCGCGCAGCAAAGCAAGCCGCGGCGGGGGAGCCAGCCGTGTCGTCGGGCAGGGGAGGAGCGCGGCGCGGCATAGCACAGGCAGCTGTGCCGCAACCGGCGACGTCAACAGACACAGCTGGCGCCACAGGCGGCAGGCGCACGCGCTCGGGCCGTGGCGCGCAGCCCTCAGTCACGGTTGCAGGGGATGCTGGGTCTGGGGAGGCTCTTGCGACTGTGGCCGGCCGCAGTGGGCGTGTGCCCCGCGTCCTGCAGACCAACATCCATGAAGAGGCGTACGAGGTTGGGGGGCAGCAGGACGCTGCAGCCATGAGCAGGCAGCGCGCTGCAAAGCCAGCGGCCGCTGTGCGAGGGCGCAGCGCCCGTTCAGCTGGCGGTCAGGTAGATGAGGAGCCGGCAGATGAGGAGGCGGCGCAGGAGCAGCAGCGAGCAGTCGCATCTGGCAGGCAGGTGCATACGAGCTCGCTTGCAGTCCCTGCTCTGCAGTCGGGCCGCGGCCGCATGACCCGCGTCCAGGCCAGTGTCGAAGAGCAGGAGACGGATTGCGAGATGGCGGCGGCGACTGCTGTCACGCGCAGGCGTACAGCGCAGCATGCGCCGGCAGTGGCCGCAGCAACCGCGGTGGATGAAGCTGCAGCAGAGGAGCAGGCAACAGTGACAGCAGTTGGGGCCGCTGCTGGGGCGCGCCGCCGCGCAGGACGTGCATCGCGCGCCCAGACAGCCACTGTGGGGCTGGAGAGCGACGAGGCGGTAGCTGTGGCGGCGGTTGGCCCGCAGCGGCGAACCTTGTCGGCTGGTGTGCAGGGCCAGGGCAAGGCGCAACAGTCTGCCGTGGCATTGCAGCTGCGTAGCAGAGAGACGCGGCTGCGAGCAGCATCAGGTGAGATGGACCCCCTGCGTGTTGCACGAGGATCAGGAGGGAGCCGTGCAGCCGCTAACGGCAACTGCTGGGTGCAGCAATATTGGTCACCACAGCGGGTGCAAGAGGGACCATCGCTTGCAACGCCCGTGTTCCTGACCTCGGGCATGCTGATGTGTGGCTCGCACAAATCTCCTGGGTTCCTGCACTCTGTCAGCACGTTGGCTCGAGATTCTAGGCGGCTGGCACATGGGATACACAAATTTAATCGCCCCCCACAAACCTGTGCACGCTGTGCGCCCCTGCTTCTAGGCCGAGGCGACAGCAACCGCGGCCGCTCCGTGGTTGAAGAGGACCACGGCGCCGGCACTCAGGCTGTGGCGACGCGGGATGCAAGCCGACGTGTGAAGACGGTACGGCGGGCAGTTATGCAGGAGGAAGGGGAGGAGCTTGAAACTCAGGCAGCAGAGAAGCAGCAGCACACAGTCGTTGTCGAGCAGGCCAGCATTCAGGTCCGCAGCGGCCGTGCCAGGCAGACAGTGGCAGCGGGAACGGGCGAGGGCTCTGAGGACGAGGGTGGTGCGGATGAGGTCTACCATGCGCCGGATGACGGGGTCTGGGCGGCCGCCGGGCTGGGGCAGCGGTCCGAGTCGGATGAGGAGGCAGACGAGCAGGCAGCAGAGCAGCCTGCGCGCGAGCCGCAGCCACCGCGACGCAGCTGGCTGGGTGGCATGCTCGGCTTTGTCTTTGGGGGCTCAGCTGAAAAGGAGGCGCAGCCATCAGAGGGGGAGGAGGAGGCGCCAGGCACAGAGGAAGGCGAGGGCGGCGAGCAGCGCCAGGCCCCGGCGCGGTCAGGCGCTGGTGGTCGTGGTCGTGGACGTGGCAGCGCGCGTGGCAGGGGGCGCAGCGGCCGCACGGGTGCGGCCGGGCCGGCCCCTGAAGGCATTTTCCCCCACACCAGCGATGACGAGGAGGAGGCTGCTGCACGCCTGGCAGGCACGGGGGGCTCCCCGGGCCGTGGCCACACCAGCGGCGGCAGCGGGGCCAAGAGGCGGCGCAGCAATTACGATGCAGCATACCAGCCCTCGTCCCCGGTTCGTGTTGAGGGGGATAACACCATCGGCAGCCGTGTGCGGGCAGCATACGAAAGCATCGGTGGTCGTGTTGCAGCGGAGCACGAGGCGGCTGAGGCTGCCGCCAGAGCTGAGGCAACCCATGGCGCCAGCGGCAGCAGGGCGGAGGGCAGGAAGCGCCCACGCTCGTCCAGGCGCGTGTGATGGCGATGATGCCGCCTCACCAGATATGTGCTGCTGGGAAGCGACGGGTGCTTGCTGTGGGTTTTCTTGGTCCAGCTCTGTCCATGTTGCCGCCTTGCCCCAGCCACCGCCGTGACAGGCTTTCACTCTGATCAGCACAGCTGTCCTCCCTGGTGTGACTGTCTGGTGTCCTCTAGCACAGCAGACGAGCACATCAATCACTCTCTAGCAGGAGTATCACAGTCTGGTACCACCAAGCGTCTGTGCTCTGCATGCTGGTGTGCGACCCATTTTGCGCTGTCCTGCTCCCCTTTGTACTGCCCTGAGAGTTTTTAAGTTGGGCACATTTGATGGCACAGGAGCATTGTAAGTGAGGCGATGGTGGCAGCTTCTGTCAGGATCTGGACGCAAGCATGGAAAGGCTGAGGTTTGCGCAGCAGGGGCACGGCCAGCTTGGGTGCTAGGTGACGGCACACCGCGCATTCTGGTGTCAAAGCAGGGCGTTGACAGGATGACCTGCAGAAAAAAAAAAGCAACCATATCCATCACCTAAGCATGCAATGTCAAGTGACTTGACTGCCCCCATGGACCATGTTTGACTGCCACGTCAACTATGAGAAGGGCCGCTAGCAACCGGCTACATCTTGTGCAAAGCTTTGCATGTGAGTATGGCGCATGCTCCTTCTCCGCGGCAAAGGCGGCCAGGGCCACCTTCGTGCCTGCTAGCTAGAGGTGAGGCAGGGGTGCATCGAGGGTGGTGCGAGGCACCAAAATCCAGTGGTCAGCGGGGCCGCCCGAGAAGGAAGAGACCTTTCAGCCGTAATGGTTATGATTGGCCAATAGCGTGCGGCTGAAACAGACAGAACGGCCTGCATTCAACTGAGTTTTGTCACGCCACGGTAGTTCGATCTCCCAGCCAATCTAGACACACACTGCGAGCAGGCATGCCGTGTCCATCTCTCCTACAGTTTGTTAGAAGCTAGAGGCCACCAGCGCGCGAATAGTCGATGTGGCGTCCGTCCATCACAGCAGCACCACCATCACACGGCAGCCATCGTCCCGAGTGCAATGCGATTGCACGCTCCCAATGTCTTGGCCAATTGAGCGGTGAAATGCCGTTGTGTGGATGGCGAGCAGCATGCCCGAGGTCTCATTGGGTCCATTCCACGCCAAGGGCACCCGCGCGATTCACCACCAGCAGCACTGGAGGCAGCGGAGTTCATGTGAGAAGAGATTTCAACCCGCACTCGCTCTGTGCCTCATGCGGCTGCTGCTGTGTTTTCGGCACGCACGTGTGCGTTTGTGGTGTGCTGCTTGCGCGCCCGCCAGCGGGTCTTGTCCATCTGCAATGTGCCTGCCAACCACAAGCCCGACACCATCGCTGCCTCCAGGCGCGCCGAGGTAGTGATGGCAGCAGCGTTGCCCAGCTCATTGGAGCGTGGGGCGACCTGTCTCGTCGGCTGGGCCAGAGCCCGGACACCGTCGACGACAGCCTGCCACCCCATCATGATGCTGCAGCAGAGCGGGGGACGGCCACAGATGAGCAACAGCATGGGCTTCAGAGGTGTGACGGCAAGCAGCATTTCAAGGATGGTTTGAACCAGGAGCAGCAGCAGCCGTGGAAGGACGAGCTAAACCAGCACAAGGGGCCGCAGCAGCAGCAGGGTGGGGCAGCCGCTCGCCCTGGGGCCGACGAACGCCTGAATGGTGTTGTCATCGAGGCGCTCAAGCTGGCACTGCGCTGCCTGGCAGGCCAGCCGCCGCGCCGTGACGGTCGCACGCCTGCGGAGCGCGCTCTGGGCCTGGCGGCTGCGCTCGCCGACCTGGCTGGCGCAGGGCTGCCGGTCGATGCGGCCATTATAGCGGCAGCCATCGTGGCCGACGCCGTGGACGCTCGGCTGCTGCACATCCGCAGCGTTGAGGCCAAGCTGGGGCCGGAGGTGGCTGGGCTGGTGCACGACGCGCTGGCTGTGCGTCACGCTCCGGAGCGCGTGGAGCTGTACGATGACGAGGCCTCCAGGTGACAAGGCTTTGGGGGGGATGTTTGGGGGGAGCGGTGGGGCTAAAGGGGTATACTCTGATGATGGCGGGAGGGGATGAGGCGACGCAGGGTTGGCAAGCGGAGATTGTGCAAGCACGAGCACGGCGGAGGGGCGCGGGTCAAGCGACGGCCGAATGTGGCGGCAGCTTGACTATGTCGACAGCGCTGCTGCCTGCAACATTTTGTGGCAGCCGCCTGTGGCTGCCGCTCTTTTAAGCCACGGCCCTGCCTGGCCCCCCGCTCTCTCAGCGCCATTCGCGACTGGGTGCTGTCAGCATACGATGTGCGCGGCGCGGTACTGGAGGTGGCCAGCCGCTGGGTGGGCATGGCTCACGTGCGCGGCCTGCCGGTGTACGAGCAGCAGCTCGTGGCGCTGGAGGCGCTGCAGGTGTTTGCCCCGCTGGCGCATGCCCTGGGCCTCGGCGCGCTGGGCGCACAGATGGAGGACGCTGCTTTTCAGGTCAGGCGCTGGGCTGCAGGAGTATCCCGGCAAGGGGCAAAATGGGTAGACGCGACGCACATGCTGCTGGGGACCAGCACACAACCAGCGTGAGCCCCGACTACTCTGGTCTTGTGCTGTGTTGGTGCAGTGCCATCAGTGCTGTACTGGCACTCATAAGTTTCTTGCCCCCTCACATGCTGTGCCCCCACCCAGGTGCTGTTCCCGCAGTCGTACGCGGCAACAGGCGAGTGGCTGCGGTCGCTGTCAGGCCGCGCACACTCTTTGCTGGACGCAACAGCCGACGCACTGGCGGCCGCTGCAGAGGCTGACGCCGAGTTCAAAGCGCTTGCTGGAGGCGTCGAGGTGAGCACCAGACCGGGGCCGCCGGGGACCTACGGGACAGCATGCCCGGCGATCAGCAGCAGCGTGTGTAGAGCGATGTGTCTCTGCCTGTGGCTGCAGCCTGACATTCTGCTTCCGCTCCGCACCGATTCCGGCTGGCGGTTTCTCACACACATCCTGCACCAATGCTCCCGCCACAGCTCATCACCCGCACCAAGAGCCAGTACAGCGTCATGCGCAAGCTGCTGGGCCTGGACAACCTGGCAGCGGGGGGCCGGCGGCGCGACCAGCTGTACGACCTGCTCGGCCTGCGCGCCATAGTGGAGCCGCGCAGAGACCTCCCGCCCGACCAGGCCGAGGCCGCAGCCACCGCGGCGTGCTACCGCCTGCAGCAGCTGGCCTTTGAGCTGTGCCCGCCTCTGGCTGGGCGCTCCAAGGACTATGTCGCGGCGCCCAAGGCCAACGGCTACCAAAGCCTGCACGCAACACTCCAGCTTGATGGCGGGGCAGGGGGCGGTGATGGCGGCGACGCCGTGGCTGACGCCTGGTCGGCCAGCACCACTGCCCAGAGCACCTGGGAGGAGTGCGATGGCGCAGCAAGCGGCAGCACCGGCGGCGGCAGCATGGACGCCACCAGCAGCCCCACCGCAGTCACCAGCTGGGCTGCCAACAGGGCGGCAGCAGTGTCGTCCGCCGTAGCATCGCCCGTGTCGCCGCCAAACGCTGTCGCGGCCGAGGTGGAGGCGCACGTGCTGCGCTACTGCGAGCTGCAAGTGCGCACTGTGGCGATGCATGCAGCTGCTGAGCGCGGCGACGCGGCCCACGCCGGCTACAAGGGGCGGGTGGACAGGCGGCAGGTGGGCGTTGGCTGGGGGCGAGCACCTTTGCGCATCGCCACGTGCCCTTTTTGTGGGATGCTGGCATGGGGAACACTTCGGAGTTTTTGAATGTATTGCTGGGATAAGGATTGCGAGGGGCTTCTGGAACCCACAGAATGGGGTGTTGTCCTTGTGATCATGCACCCTAGGTCCTCACTTTTGCGTGCTCTCACCAG